TTATGAATAATAAATAAATAAGTAATACTCCCTCCTATTCATAATAAGTGTCGTTTTGGGAAGTTGCACACTAATTAAGAATACATTTTTTGTTAATAATAACCCTCATTGATGAAGATAGAGATGAATGTTTTAAAAAAAAAAAAAAGATGAAGAGAATATGAAAAGACGTAATGTATTTATTAACTAGATGGGGGTAATAATGGAAAAATATGTACAAAAGATCCAAAACGACATTTATTTTGGTTAATAGTTGATAAAGCCAAAATGACATTTAAAAAGAATAGGAGGTAGTATTAAATTTTATTTTATCTTATGTGATTATATAAGTTGTTGTCTAATAAATAGTATATTTTGATAACAACGTCATTATATCAAACACGTACAAAAGATGATACAATACATATAATAATTCTTTTAATAAATACACTATTATTTATCAGTAGAATAAAAAACTAATAAAATAATAGTAATGCAATTGAAAAAAGAAAATGTCTGAATTTTCTTAGACAAGTATGAATACCAATATTTAGAAACAAAAATCTTTTAAAAATAATATTTTTTTTTGTTGCTAGCGTTTAAATATATGGACTCTGCAAGAAATTAGATCTCATAAATAATGATCCTATATTATCAATTTTAATTTTAAATAATTAAAAATTTAAAACTTTATAATATATAATGTAGATTTTAATAATGATTTCGTAATAATAAAGTTCAAAGATGACTAAGAGTCATAAAATAGAATTCCAATTCTTCTCACCTCAAATATTTTAACAAATGATATGCTTCTCAATGCAAATAATAGAGTCTGATTTGCAAACAATAGATTATATAGTTCGTATATCTTCCAAATAAATGACATTGAAAATGAAACGTTGGAGCCTGATCAAAATATTTTTGAATATTTGAATGAAGTTCACACTTCTTATAGGAATATTTATTATTTCATTCGTATATTGTGCTTGAACATATGTGCAATTATTTTAGAGTATGTACTTTTAGGTAATATGTGATGATTCAAAAAATAATCTCGGGAAAAGTACAAGTAATAGAGGTTTTGAAAAGTCAACTTTTATTTAGAGATGAAATTCATTCCCCTTCGTAGGGCGATACATCCATGGGTTAGATATCAATTTGTCTATATATATATAGAGAGAGTAATATAGTAGTTTATACAATGATAAAAAATAATCAACAATTTTAATGACACGATTGGTTATTTTGTAGAGATATTCATGTATTGTTATTAGAAATATAAAGATAATACAACCATGAAGTTTCACTATATGTTTGGCTAGAATATTTCTTAAGTGTTTGAATAAAGTAGACGTTTTGCCAAATAAATTAAAATGAATTTTGCAATACTATTGAATTATATGAACGTCAAAACCAAAATGAAAGAGATCACTATTGAATCATCTAACATAAACAAATAAAAGAACTAATTCATGTATAATATATATTAGTCATTATTTAGTTATTTAGTATTTTTGTTAGGGTTGTAATATGTCGTTTAATTCTTTTTATATTAGGACATTGTTAAGTTATTATGGAAAAAACAATTTTGTTCTGCATTTTGTTTCATTAATTTGTTCTACATTTTGTTTCATTCTTGTAATGATATATTTAATAAATTAATTTACTTATTTTACAAAACTTAATCAGTAAAAAAAATTACATTATGAGCTCATTTGTTCTACGTTTTATTTCATTCTTGCCATGATATTTTTAATAAATTGATTAATTTATTTTACTAAACTTAATTGACAAAAACATTCAACGCCACGTGCATCGCACGTGCACTTTACTAGTACAGATAAATGATAGCACAATTTTCGAAATAATATTTTGACGAATCAATATATCCTATTATAATATGGTCGGTTAAATAACTATGTTTTGAGTTCGGACTGATTTATTTATTAAATGTGTTACTGAAATCGAAGTCGAATAACAATAACAAGCTATAAGCTCCACTTATTTGAAGTTCTAATTATCACTCTATTATTCTTAACAAGACTTAATTACGGGGTTGACTATTGTGGTGGAACAAGTGCATGGATTAGAATGATGCCCAACTTTGCTTTTGCTTTAATGTTAATGCAAGAAAATTGTCTTCAGAATTATAAAGCGAACATTCTTCCCGCTTTTCGGCACCGGCCCCTCTCTGTTATTTCACACGTGCGCACTGATTTGAGAATTATACATCAAAACATTATACTAGAAAATTCACTTCACCCCTATATACTTTTCGAGTATAAACATATAAATACACATACATTTAAAGTATATGGTTGGCAGTAAAGTCATCTTCTAACTTATTAATTAGTTTGGCAGATATTTTTTTCTTTATTTTCTAATAAGGGGTTAATACGCAAAATTCCTCTATATTTAATTAAAAAAAATGTGCCCTTTTTTAATTATATTTTAAAAAATGTGTGAGACCCTATTATATTAAGCAACCGATTCACTTCCCTTTTTTAATTTTCCCATTGATAGCATTAATTTTTTTAAAATTATTCCATTATACTTTCAAAATATTTTATAATATAATAAAATATATTAATTTTTTGTGATATTTAAAATTTTTTGTATGATACGGGTGGCGAGATTGATATTGCATCGTGGTTCATGACTCCAAATCCAAAAGACCTCGGTTCTTTATCCTGTAAACAAAAAAGGGACACTGCTCTGATACCAAATGAAAAATTGCGGCGAGGGAGTAGAGTGCGCAAAGTGTGTTCACCTAAATTAAAAGGAGAAGCGATACAAAAACTAATATGTCTTCAGGGAGCATCCTCCTACCTTTCAGAGCACTTTCATAATAGATTGGTTTGCGCACAACGTACAACTTGGAATTACACGAATAATCTAACCAACACTATATCCGACTCTATCAACTACTTCCATGGCCACAACACTTGGACTTCGAAAATAGCTATGGATCCCTCCCAGCTACAAAAATACTTAATCACTAAGCACTCAAAGTGTTTGTAAAAGAAAAGGAAACTCAGATCTTCAGCGGTGTAAGAACGTTGAAAAATTGCATCGAATAAATAAAACAAGACGCTCACAAACGCTCAATGAAGTTTGGAATAATAATTCGATAAGTGTTGCTCCTCTTCAATGAGTCTTCAATCACATATATAAATAAACTCCTCAAAGGTAAGAACGTTGAAAAATTGCATCGAATAAAATAAAACAAAACGCTCACAAACGCTCAATGAAGTCTGGAATAATAATTCTATAAGTGTTGCTCCTCTTCAATGAATCTTCAATCACATATATAAATAAACTCTTCAATCTTCTTATTCCCATGCATTGACTCATTTTCATGTGAGGTTGATTTCCATCCCAATGACTTCCTTCATAACTTCAACGTGATCTCCTTTCATTTAAAGTAAGTTTCCCTCAAGTAGAATCCGTATATATGATTTGGAGATCTTCAGAATTCCAATTCCAAAACGGTGTTGGAACGCAATTTTCCTAAAATAGTCGATCTTCCAGATCTAAGATGATCTTGCAGTGAATCTTTCCAAATCCTCTTTAGATCTTCTCCAAAACGTCCAGGATCCTTCATGTGTGGATTTCTCATCCTTTCATAGTCCTTGCCACTATTCCTTATTGTACAAAAATAATAATTCGTTTTAATGTGAAGTTAAGACAAAGTTGGTAATTGGTTAGCTTGGAAAAGCATAATTAAGAGAAGCAATAGAAAGTACAAACTCATATGTTTGGGGTTCCAGGATCAACTTTTTATTTATTTATATCTTATAATGTACAATTTTTCATTTCTATTAATTAAATAGTAAAATCTTATAAAATTATTACATTTGTGATATCAAAAGAAAGAAAACTACAATGTGTGAGAATAGAATAAGCATTCTATCTTATTAGGAAGCTTAATTGTAATCACATTTTTTTACCTCAAGATATATATATAGATTTTTTTTTTTTCTCAAATTAACCACTATAAATATCACCAAAATAAGTATATCATTATTTATTACTCTTTATTTATTTTAAATTTATTTTATTATTTAGAAAGACCTCTTTCTCCAATTTTTTTTTATCAAATCACACCCAAATTACTTTACCTGTAACTTTTTTTTTCCTCAAAACGGTAAATGTTAATATATAATCTCAAATAAGGTACAANAAGAGAAACTAACAAACCACAAATTAGTTAAACATAACAAAAGATAAAACAACTAGTAAAAAACAAAGCAGCTATAGTTACTAACAAACCACAAATTAGTTAAACATAACAAAAGATAAAACAACTAGTAAAAAACAAAGCAGCTATAAACTAAAGTTCGATAAACCGACCTTCGATCAACGGCTTCGGCTCAGTCGAGTTCTCACAGGAACGAAATAGGTAGCGGTGCTGACGCCATCGCCAGAAATAGCAAGGCTGAGTCACCGGACTGTACATAATTGAATGGTTAACCTCAACAATCTTTATTCATTTAAAAAAAAAAATTTATTAAATTTTTACGTGGACACTGCTGGCTTAGTTTATAATTAGAGTCCAATTAGTTTAGGATTAATAAATTTTTATTACAATTTTTCATTAAAACTCACTGTAAAATTTATGGGGCCAGTTTTATGTTGGATAGGATGAACCCACAATGATCATTGGGCCTAGTGTAGTGGTAGGTAAGGAGAATCCAATATGATCAAAACACATACTGACATGCACACCTATTTTAATTTCTTTGGTTCATTTAAATATATTCCATTAGATAATAAATTGTTATTTTAATTATAATTTCACGATTAAAAAATATACTTTATATACAGACCTTTGAGTCGATACAGTTTTCTTAGAAAACCACTCTTTTTATAATAGTATTGAATGGAGATTATAATTTCAGTCTTAAAAAATTTAATAATATTTAAATAATAAAATACTTTTTGTAGGATATTCCTTGCATTGCACGGGTATAAACACTAGGTACTTCCTAAAATCACACTGAAAAATAATGAACACACCATACCCCAAAACGAAAATCTGATGCATTTTATCACTACAATGTTTTCAGCGCCTCAAAAAATGTGTAAAGTCAAGTTTCATGAATAAAATTCAGAGATACAATTTTGCGCTAGAAAATAATCCTCCAAAACAAGAATGTCGAAAAAGCCACGCTGCACAAGTTTTGTGCACTCATGCAGCAAATGAGCTAATAATGCACACAATCATGTTCAAAAGACACACTCAACATCTTCTCAGCATTTTGGCTCTCCCTTTCTCGGCCTGCCACGGCCCCTTTTAGTTACCGAGGCTTGCAACACATTATTGGACTCGCCATCTGGCTTCTTCTCCTCTGACGAGAGTACACTTTCATCCCCATTATCCACTTTGGCTTTCTTGTTAATCTCTTCCTTCTCATTTGAGAGGCTCGATGAACTACCTTTTCTCTTTAACGTAATACTTTTACCAAGCTGCCCCTCTGTTTGCTCATTTGATTTCTTACCCACATCGGCCCCTGGCAATGTATCATCATTCTTCTCTTCACCTGCATTTATTTCCTCTGAGGTGGTGTTTGAGTCCTTGTGTTCCTCTTCCTTAGCAATCTCCGACTGCAGTTTCTCAATAACCTCCTTTATTTCCCCTGGTAATGTATCATTCTTCTCTTCACCAGCATTTGTTTCCTCTAAGGTGGTGTTTGAGCCCTTAAGTTCCTCTTCCATAGCAATCTCCGACTGCAGTCTCTCAATAACATCCTTTATTTCCCTGTTCACCTAACAATATGTGGGGAAAAAAGAGAGCAAAATAAATAAATATTTTTGCAAAAGAAAAAAAATGCAAACTATTACGAAAATGAAAAATGTGTTGGGTGTTCTTGTGAATTTCACGTACCTGAGGATTTTGGAGGAATTCTGATATGTCAGTGGGGCATGCAGGGCAGTTCAATATGTTTTTCTGTGAACGAAGTTTGCGCCCATTGTGGCAGACCCTCTCCTTGGAAAAGGTTTGCCCGGCAAATTGATTTTCTAAACAAGGTTTGCAGAAATTGTGAGCGCAGGGAGTCGTGAGGGGCTGATTCATCACATTCTTGCATATAAGGCAGCAGAATCCTACATGAAGAGCACATGCAAATATAGCGCTTATTTTACTTGGATAACTGTATATACAGATTAAGAATGTAAGAGATGTTGATGATCAGCAATTGGAAAATTGGAAATTATTAAAATAATATAATAAGGATAATGTTGTGGGGAAGGAATTCAAACCTTTGAGCAGTCTCTCTCTCATTGAAACAGCTTGTGCTCTCCTTATCACCTTCATTCCATTCTCCCTGTCCTTGGGATTAATGCTGACTACTTTTTCTTCGCTATGGGGTGGTGGCCTTTTCCATTTCCAGCAACTTGCGACCTCCTATTATCAATATCAAATCATAGTAAGTAATCAAGCAACTGCCACAACCAATCAAATAAAACAATCTTAAATGGAAACTTAACAAGTTACTATTCAAAGCTTTACACGAATTCATTAGACAAATCACACGTCCATACATTATATGAATATATATATGTGTGTGTGTGTGTGTGTGTGTGTTTTTGAGGTCATTTATGACAATATTGCATCTACTCACATCATAATCCCAAGAGGGACTTTCCTTTCTTTGAGTAACGTCAACAGCACCTTTAAGCTCGGAAATAACTGGCAACTCTCTTGGACGATCTCCATGCTCGTCACTGGAACACAAAAATGAAAAATTGTGAAGCATATTTCTGGGTAGACGGAATTATTAACTATACCCTGATGTGAAGCATAACCTTGTCCATGGTGCAGGCTCATTGTCACACCTCACAAACAAATATCTGCAGACTTTGAAGCCCTGCAGCAGAATAGAGGTTGAATATACAGTTAAATAGAGTGGCAAAAGATGTCCTAAGAAAAGAACGTATGGATTAGAGAAAAACTGTGTACCTGCTTTCCGGCTTTTCTCCAACACTTCTCGATCCTGTAGACACCATCATACCGGTAACCTTTCTCCGGAGCATATGAAGAACGTTTGTCTTTCTCAGATCTGTTAAAAGAAGGGGTTATTTTGTGACGATTGACAGCAGTGATCATATATGGTGCTGAAGCTGATGGAACTGTTTAGGGAAAAACAGGGAAAAAAAAAGTAAGAAGGAAGGAAGGGAGGGAGGGACTTGAAGTGCAGGAATCGGTGGTGTGTTATTTTTTTTCCCTTTCCTGTATTTTGGTTCAGTGAGGTCTGCGCTAAGCTTGCACCTCAAGCTATAAGAGTCTTATCTCCTTAGTTGCACCATAATGTCACTTGCACCACTGGTTAATATGATTTACCTCACTTGCACTAGCCACAGCAATTAAATCGACTATTATCGTTTGGCATTATTCAAAGCTCCATCTATATATGAAAACTTGAAAGGTACTAGCCAAACCTCGTTCATTTAAGTTAAGTAAAACCGGATTAAATGTCAGTTTTCTTTTATTATCATTCTATGAACTATGAAGGATTTCAACCCATACCAAGCTCATGAACTTTCATACAGGATGATACTTCGCTTTATTTTGACTAGCAATTTAGTCTTTCAATATTGAGTATACCATCATCTTCCACTCGAAGTATTTATAGCACAGAAATATTATCTATTAGTGCATGTAATTTGCATCTCAATTACTAACGAAAGATGTGTTCCAACACTAACAGATGTCATTCACATGTGTTTTTCTCTATGTTCCTAGAGATCCACAAATTTCCAGCAGAGAATCATAATCATAAAGTGCAATTAGTCAAGAAATAAATTTATAACAATGATACTTGTTTCACGTTCTTACAACATCAAACAAGAAAAGTTTCTAACAATATCTGCAGAGAATGAGAAGATCCTCTATACCTGACAACACGAACTGGATAGCCTTTTTCGCAGCTAACTCGCAGAGATTGATTTTGCCCCTGAAACTCCTGATCAAATGACTGCGCCTTGTTTGTGCGCTTGTTTCCGCTTAAATCCCGCCCCCCACTGCGATACTCAGAAGATTGCAATAATAAAGAACATGTTATCAATACCTTCAGCATATTAATGACTGGATGCAATTAATCCGTGAGATTAACTAAAATAAGAGACCGAGAATATCACTATAATTATGAGTGCGCATAGCTATAGCATATTGCGCAATAGCAAACAGCGCACCTAAAATAATTGCACTAAGAGATTGGAAAAGGGAAACAAATGAAATCAATATATTCAGCATACAACAGAGAATAAATGCAATTAATCGTGGAGATCACCTATAACAACAGATTTAAATATCTGCGTGCAAATAATGGTAGCATATTGCGCAGTAACTAACGGCACCATCTAACAAATGCACCAAAATCCAACTAGATGATTGGGAAAAAAAAACACATGAAGTCAACACCTTCAGCATACAAAAAATAATGAATGCATTTCTTCAGGTTAAAAACATTACTTTAACAATGTTTGTGTGCATATTGAGGCATTAATGAACAGCATTATAATGAGGTGCACTTGCACCACAAAAACAGACAAGAAGACTTAAAACATATAACCATATAAGAAAATTAAAT